CACCCTAGGCCCTAAGCCCTATAAACCCTATAAACCCTAAACCCTAAACCCTAAGCCCTAACACCCTAGGCCCTAAGCCCTATAAACCTTATAAACCCTAAACCCTAAACCCTAAGCCCTAACACCCTAGGATAGTACCAATTTTTCGAGGCCCCTGGGTCGACTGCTGTGGGCTCTACGCTGCTCGCCTTTGATTCACTCGGGGTTTAGAGTTTAGGGGTTTAGGGTTTAGGGACCCCAATAACCTACAAGGGTCCCTATTAAGGGTCCCTCCTAAAGCCCCTAAATGGTTTTGTTTATCATGATCGGAGATTCATCGGCTCAAGAAGAAATTGCTTGCGGGAGCTACAAGAGGCCCACAGGCGCATGAATAACTTACCCAAAGGCTCCATGTACCTCTGTAGTAGATACTTAGGCCTTAAAGGGGTCTCTATATAGGTACTTTATGATACTTTATGGCTTAAGTATCTACTACATGGTGCAGCCTTAGGGTTAGATCCGCTACACCCTGCACCGAAAAAACCTAAAGCCTCGAGAGCCAATAAACTAGCCAATAAACTAAAACGGAAGCCCTAAAGCCTAAACGGCGAAGCTGCAGCGCAGATCCCTGGACCCTACCCTCACAGACGGCTCACTTAAGGTACGTTGAGGTGGTATGCAGTAAGCATTGCGCCTTTTCCATGTTTTTGAAGCTTAAGATACCTACCTTTCCAGAACCCTACAGGCCCTCCGACAGCGCCATGACACCCGAATGAAGTACCTAAGGTGTCTCCGGCACGTACAAAGCATACCTATGTTCCCCGGGCCCTTACCTTCAGCCCGAAACCCTATAAAAGCCTAAGCCCTAAACCCTAATCCCTAAAATTCCTTCAGCTCTGACCCTAAACCCTAAAGCCTAAACCCTGAGCTAACAGTGTGAAAGGCCGTTGCACTTTAAAAAAAAACCCTGAGTACTAAACCTCAAAGTTCCTTCAGCTCTGAGCCGCAGCTCCGTCAAACGATCAGGCTCCCGCTACAGGCCAGGATGTGTTCATCCCAGCGTCCGCTGCACAGGTGGGGCCATGTCTGTGCAGATTAGACTCAAGGATGCTCAGTTTAAGGCTCAGGCTTTAGGATCGGAGTTCTTGCGCAATCGCAAGATGAATCAGCTCCCATGCAGTCTTCAACAGAGCTGGTAGGCAGGATAGTAGTTAGATGCGGTCAGAACTATACAGACATTCGTAGCACAAGTAATAGTAACAGTCATAGTAACACCAGTAAGAGTAATAAAAATAATAACAACACTAGCATTAACATTCTAATGAAACGACAGCGCTCTTTGAGCACCTGGGTTCGCAGCAGATGTTGAATTTCGGACGTAGCTTTGAACAGGAAGCTTAGGGTTTAGGGCTGAAGGTTTAGAGTCTAGGTTTTCAGGTTTAGGGTTTAAGGTTTAGAGTCTAGGGCTTAGGGTTAAGGGGATGTTGGGATTTAGGGATAGCCTGATGGGGACTTTGGCACAGCGGCTCCGAAGACAGATTTAGTTCCAGAGCATGGGACCAAGTCCTAAGATGCGGCCGAGCAGATAAGATCGAGCACTGCCAAGCTAAGTAAGTTTGTAAGCCCTGCGAGCGGACATAAACCCTAAACCCTAAACCCCTAAACCCAAAGCGAACCCTGGGGTCGTCGAGCCGTAAAATTGACAGGATGTTGTGCAGAAGGATGAAGTAGCCCCGGCCGCTGGAAAAATTGCCGCTGCTTTTCCAGAATAGGTTCCTGTGAGGGCTACAACCGTTTCGATAAGGGTTATTACAAGGGCTGAGCACAGGAGAATAAGTAGGAGATTACCATCCATAGTAGAACTATACTATAACCTACGCAAAGATTCTATGCAGGCCCTTGACTTTGTGGTTGGTGTCGTGGAATTGTGTAACCGTCAAGTGGTCTACTGTGTCGTGGTAGCTTTAGAAACAGAAAGAGCATGTAATTATATGTGAGATTGGCATAATTCAACGATCCTCAACCCAGGCTTCTAAACCCGTTTTAGGGTTTAGGGTTTAGGGTTTAGTTTAGGGTTAAGTCCGAATTCCCTTACACCCTCAACCCTCAGCCGATGTGGGAGGTTTGGGATCTGAGGAAAGGAAATCCGAAGCCCTCCAGCGTGACAGGAATGGCAACTTGCGTGATAGCTATCCCTAACCCTCCAGGTACCTACTATATAGGGCTCTAGGGGCTTTAGTACCCTATATAGCAGGTACCTGGGGGTTAGGGTATGATCATACTAAGACGAGAAAGGTAATGGGCGTACAGGTATGTGCAGACAAGTTCTGGCTCTAGCTCTGTATGCCTAACGTGTTTGCAGGCTGGTGCTCTGTGCGACCTGGCTGCGACAGATTGATTCAGATGTATGCTTCAGCAGAGTAGCTTTTTTGTTGGCTCAGTACTGATGAACCTTGAACGATTCTTCGGGGCTTGTTGAGGGACTGTCCTCGGTGCACTCGCATACCATAAGCCATAGAGGTGGAGCAGGCTGTTGACACACCTGTCAGGGAGCAGGTTGAGAAGAGGTACGGTTTTGGTCGTGGGGCAGTCGAAATCAAGTCCCTGAACCCTAAACTCTAAGCATTAGACCCTGGCCCTAGACCCTAAACTCTAAACCCTAAACCCTAGACCCTAAATCCTAAACCCTAAACCGAGACTTAACTTCGGCTTGAAATCAAGGCGACTGCATGCTGCTCCAGCTGCACAGAGTTGCAGACTGGGCTACAGTCCCCTAATTTGTTGTTTGTTGCCGCTAGTTACTGTTAGTTTTCTTATCACAGTTTCCGGGTATTCTGGTTCTTGTTATGGAACTTTTACTTTAAGTCACCAGAACCAGGAAAAATTATGATTTACCATAGGTTCCTACTGTTACAACTTAGGTTAGGTTTCCTTAGTAAGAGCCCAGTATCCTAGAAACGCTAAACCCAAAACCCTAATCCTTAAACCCAAAACCCTAACCCTAATCCGACAACCCGAAACCCTAAACCCTAAACCCTAACATTCACAGCCCCGGGAATTCGCTTCAGCTCGCGGTGTCGGATGTGTATGACATTTAGGGTTTGGGGTTTTAGGGTTTCGGGTTTAGGGTTTCAGGGATTCAGGGTTTGGGGCTTTAGGGTTTCAGGTATTCAGGGTTTAGGGCTTTGGGTTTCAGGGCTTCGAGAGACGTCTGCCGGGAGTCTTCAAGTTCGAAAGCCTCTGCTAGAATGCGACCCCGAGGGTCGATGGTGTTTTGGATTTAGGGTTTAGGGTTTAGGGTTTAGGGATAGGTGCAGTGATTCAGGCTAAGCCGAAGTATCTACTTATTGGCGCTGGGACCCCTAGGGTCGCCCTTCTTCTGACCTCTTCTGGTGCACTTTCGCAACACAACAGTACGAATGCTTGGGTGAACGGATAACTCATCTGGCAGATAGAGGGCAGGGTAAGAGACAGACAGGCCATGAATCACAGCTGCACTGACGAGATTGGCCATGTTTGAAGCGAGGAATGACCTGACACTGTATATTGTAAACACAAATTAATCGGTATTTATATATACACAGACATACATATATCTATATATGTATATCTATATATACATATAATTACACAGATCCCAGAGACTGCGCCCTAGGCTAAGAGCTAGAGCCGAATAGCTTAATTCTCTAGACCCTAAAGCTTAAAACCCTAAACCCTAGACCTTAAAGCCCTCAACCGCGAGCAAATGAAGTTGACGACCATTCGCCTCCACATCGTTCCGCTCGGTTGCAACCCTAAACTCAGAACCTTTTGTGCGCAACCCTTTAGGGTTTAGTAATAAAGAGCCTGAGGTTGAGGGTTTAATAATTTAGGGCCTGGGGTTTAGAGTTTAGGGTTTTCCGTCGCCGGGTGTTCCTTTTCTGACACGGGTGTTGCATTGAGCATCCCGATCAAGAGGACCGTTATCAAGACATCCAAGCCTCTCAGCGTAGCCTCCTTAAGTCCTATACCCTAAACTCCAAACCAGAACCCTTTTTAAGAACCCTGACAGTAGCCCTTATAGTAACTCTGAAAGTTAACCCCTAAACCCTAAACCCCAAACCCTAAACCCTAAACCCTAAACCCTAAACCCCTAAATCCTAAACCCTAAACCCTAAACCCTTATAGCAACCCTTAAAATAATCAGGCATCATCTGCCTGCGAGATGACTTTGGAGCGGAGAGGCGGCGTTGCACCGTGCCGGGGTCCACGTTCAACGCACGTAGGGTTTAGGGTTTAGGGTTTAGGGTTTAGGGTTTAGGGTTTAGGGTTTAGGGTTTAGGGTTTAGGGTTTAGGGTTTAG